TGTTTTTGCCGTCTTTCTATAACCATCTGTTCGGAAGTTTGGCAGTTGGCACAATCGATCCCCTTCCCCTGCGGGGCACGTTCGGCTGAATGGCTCAGAGAGCGCGGGATAACAAATCTGATTCGTCTCTTGTATTTATTTTTTACGAATACCTATAGGAAGCCTAAAAGGTTTAAACGTTTTCCATACAGACAATGACGATACAATTACAGCATAAATGGCTTACAGAACCAAGTGTTTCGGACAGGGTTGGTGGAAAAACTATGACTTTTACATTAATGAAATATAAACAATTACAGCCAGCCGGCAAGGACGAAAATCAAATGATAAAATCGTATGCTCATTGTGAAAAATTGGATAGATATTGATCAATGTAGTTAGGATTTTAAATGACCTTTTCCTCGATAATTAATTGGAAATTCAATAAAAAGTAAATATTATATTGTTTGGCAAATTTTCGAACAACAGTTCATTCTCAAGCCACATGAAACAATTGACAACGAAGTTTTATAACTGCCGCCAAGCTACATTTTTTGAATTCTCACACGTGATGTACAAGGTGGTCTTCTTAAAATCAGAAATCTGAACTTAATCGATCATATCCCAAGCTGTTCCGAATCCACCTATTCACATATACATACATACATGACCATCAAAAGTAATATGCGAGCATAATCACATAAATATATACATGGTTCGTTTTGGTCGTGGTCGTGATGAATAGATCGCGTAGCATTAAAAAAGGTGACAGCAATGACAATATAAACACTTTGGAAGTCTCGTAGCAGATTATGTCGTGTAAAGTTCGGTTCGGTTTAAACAATCATACAAATGCATACAACTACTCGTAATATGCGAGCACTCTCAATTCCCATACATGAATATGGTTCGTCTTGGTCGTAGTCGTGCTAAATAGCTGATCGTGTCGCATTAAAAAAAAAGAAGACAACAACAATAACAATACAAACACTTCGAAAGTCTCGTAATAGATCGTGTCGTAAAAGGTAGGGTTTACACAATCATACATATGTATACATCTTCGAATCAAGCGCAGTACCTAACAATTATCCACACATAACAAATTTCAATGACAGCCAGTGGATAATGAAAACAAACAACTATCATTCTATAGTATGGGCCATGAAGACATGTTGGAGTTGAGTTTTGGGCGCTTCTTTTGGATCAGGAGGGATTCCGCGATTTTCCTATCTGGGTGGTCTTTCGACTTATACAAAACGCGTACTTTGAGGGGAATGCCTCCTTCGTGGGTGGAGTGGCACTCTTGAAAATGATCTCCCATGGGGGTGTCATGTGTTTTGTTGAGCGCGTCCCTCAGGTGTTCATTGAATCGTAAGCGCACCGGGCGCTTCGTCTCTCCCACGTATGTTACGGTCATCCCATTGCTTTGACAGACAGTACATGTAATCTCATAGACTAAGTTTTTCTGCGTGCAGTCCCCAGAGAACCCCGATCTGCATGTGTGACATCTTTGACCTCCTGGGCATAAGGGCTTACATAGTGCTGACCTCACTAGTTTATCTTTTAGTTTTTGTGAATTTGTCCATGCTAACTTTACATTGAGGCCTGATTGTCTCACTTTGCTCTTAACTTCGCACAACAGTCTTTCATCTACGTAAGGAAGTGTGAGGAATCCATCACAAGGTTCTTGGGTCCTGTTCCTTCTAGTTCTTGAGTGAGTCTTATTCCCCCTAGCCTCTCTGAGCAACCTGATCAGGACGTGGTTTGGGTAGCCATTCTTTAAGAGTAACTGCCTTATCTTTTCTACACTTTTCCTCTCCTTCATGCTGCTTGATGAATTCCTGATAGCCCGTTTAAATTGATTTCTAGCCACGTTGAGTTTGGTCGACTTTGGATGTGCAGAATCGAAATGAAGGATAATGCCCGAGTTCATGGGCTTGATGTAGAGCTCTGTCTCAATTTTTGTGACATCGTCCTTTTCCTCGACCGTCACCAATGTGTCTAGAAATGGCACTCCTTTTTCTTTGTCAGAGTAGTCTAAAGTGAACTTTACCGATGGATGTAGGGAGTTGAGGTAAGCGAGGAAGTCTTTGAGCGTCTGCTCACCGTGAGTCCACACTCCAGCATAATCATCAATGTAGCGTACCAGGAACGACGGGCTGTGAGTGGCTCCTTCTAGGGCACGCCTTTCAAACTGGTCCAAGAAGAGAATGGCTATGGGAGGAGCACAAGGGTTTCCCATCGCGATCCCCAGTGTCTGACGGTAGTACTCATTGTTGAATGAAAAGACGTTCTTTGTGAGGCTTTCTTGCAGCAGTTTCCTAATGTCCTCTACCGACAGCCCAAAAGTGTCTACATCTTTTAGATGGGTGGCCAGCTTATCACAGACTGCATCAATGGCCTCCGAAATAGGAATGCTGCCGTACAGGTTCACCACATCTATGCTAAAGAAAATGGAACCTTTTGGGATCCCCTGTTCTTGAGTGTGTTCATCTAGTCTTTTCAAAAAGTGTTCTGTGTCCCACAAGTGTGTTGGAACAAATTGTAGTAGCTGTTTCAGGACGCGCTCTAAAAGACATGACATCTTTTCAGTAGGACCACCGCAAGCTGAAATAACAGGTCTGAGTGGGACCCCCTCCTTATGGTCCTTCGGAACACCATAGAAAACCGGTGTCCTGCTGTGGTTCGGGATCAACTCCTTAATCGTGCCCTCTGGTAACTTATCTCTAGAAACATCCTTGAATATCCTTTTACATTCTGCCTCGACTTTAGGTACTGGGTTCTTGTCTATAGCTTCATAGTTGTTCCGATCGTCTAAAATAGCATGAGATTTGTTGACATACTCCGTCCTATCCATGATAATAAGACCTTTGCACTTGTCACTCTGCTTTACAACTACGTTGTCGTTTTTCTGTATCTCGTCCAAGAACTGCATTTCACTCTCAGTTACGTTGCTCTCAGACACATGGTGCTTTTTGTAACACCTAACTACGTCTTGTTTTAGCTTTTTTAGCTTACATTCAACTTCCATAGCTGCGGGCGGGGGGAATCTTTTGTCCGTGTCAGGGAATCTGAAAGACAGACCTGACTTTAACCTTGGCATACCATTTGTCGTCATTCCTGGAGGCTGGTCAGCAGACTGACCGGTCGCTGGAGGTCGGTCGACAGACTGACCGGTCGCTGGAGGTCGGTCGACGAACTGGCTGGTCGCTGGAGGTCGGTCGACGGACTGGCTGGTCGCTGGAGGTCGGTCGACAGACTGACCGGTCGCTGGAGGTCGGTCGACGAACTGGCTGGTCGCTGGAGGTCGGTCGACGGACTGGTTGGTCGCTGGAGGTCGATCGACAGACTGACCGGTCGCTGGAGGTCGGTTGACAGACTGGCTAGTCACTCGAGGTCGGTCTGCAGATAGGCTGGGCGCTGGAGGCTGGTCAGCTGACTGATCGGTCATAGGAGGCCGTTCGGCAGGCTGACCGGTCGTTGGAGGTCCGTTCGAGGCTGGTCGGTGCGTCGTTGTGTCGTTTCGCATTCTTGAATTCGTCCGTCGAATCTCATCTTGCCAGCGTTTGGCGTACGCTAAACGTTCGACTCCCTTTTCCACCTCCAATAGAATATTGCTGGATATCTTTTGTGTGATAGCGAAGTTAGGTCCCTTGGAGAGAAGCGCCAGATCTTGTGCTTGCAAGTCTAGTGACGAAAAGTTTTTAACCCGATCTTGAGCCAGAGGTGGACTGCTTCTCTCTTCGTTCTGGTTCGAAGTTTTCAGTCCGATCAGTTTCTGAAACTTCCTGAGCAGTCTTGGACGATTCTCTTGTATGGTGATGTCGAACACCTGGCTGCAGGTTTGTTTGATGTTGTTGACACTTTGAGCTTCGAGAAACTCTTCGGTTTCCGCGAGAAGTCGATTACGTTGCCTCAAAAGGTACGGAACGCCTCCGAGATTGACTCGTTCAGCAAGTTAGTCTTAAAGACATCACATCTAGTCTTGACAGAGACATTGTTGCTAAATAGCTTATTTACAGAACTTAAGGCATCAGTGATGAAACGGGGACTAACCTTTGCTTTGCGGCAGGCAGTTAAAAACTCAATTCTCAACAGCGTTTTAGCTAGTTTTTCTGGGTTTTTCATCATTTTTGTGAGCACTTCTTGGCGGTCACTTCTTGTTGTGTATGAAGAAATGGTATGCAGCGCTCTAGCGAGGAACATCTTGATATATGTAGTTAGGATTTTAAATGACCTTTTCCTCGATAATTAATTGGAAATTCAATAAAAAGTAAATATTATATTGTTTGGCAAATTTTCGAACAACAGTTCATTCTCAAGCCACATGAAACAATTGACAACGAAGTTTTATAACTGCCGCCAAGCTACATTTTTTGAATTCTCACACGTGATGTACAAGGTGGTCTTCTTAAAATCAGAAATCTGAACTTAATCGATCATATCCCAAGCTGTTCCGAATCCACCTATTCACATATACATACATACATGACCATCAAAAGTAATATGCGAGCATAATCACATAAATATATACATGGTTCGTTTTGGTCGTGGTCGTGATGAATAGATCGCGTAGCATTAAAAAAGGTGACAGCAATGACAATATAAACACTTTGGAAGTCTCGTAGCAGATTATGTCGTGTAAAGTTCGGTTCGGTTTAAACAATCATACAAATGCATACAACTACTCGTAATATGCGAGCACTCTCAATTCCCATACATGAATATGGTTCGTCTTGGTCGTAGTCGTGCTAAATAGCTGATCGTGTCGCATTAAAAAAAAGAAGACAACAACAATAACAATACAAACACTTCGAAAGTCTCGTAATAGATCGTGTCGTAAAAGGTAGGGTTTACACAATCATACATATGTATACATCTTCGAATCAAGCGCAGTACCTAACAATTATCCACACATAACAAATTTCAATGACAGCCAGTGGATAATGAAAATAAGAAAAATAAGATAATGAAAATGAAATAAGTTCTGTAAATAAGCTATTTAGCAACAATGTCTCTGTCAAGACTAGATGTGATGTCTTTAAGACTAACTTGCTGAACGAGTCAATCTCGGAGGCGTTCCGTACGAAGGCCTACCTTTTGAGGCAACGTAATCGACTTCTCGCGGAAACCGAAGAGTTTCTCGAAGCTCAAAGTGTCAACAACATCAAACAAACCTGCAGCCAGGTGTTCGACATCACCATACAAGAGAATCGTCCAAGACTGCTCAGGAAGTTTCAGAAACTGATCGGACTGAAAACTTCGAACCAGAACGAAGAGAGAAGCAGTCCACCTCTGGCTCAAGATCGGGTTAAAAACTTTTCGTCACTAGACTTGCAAGCACAAGATCTGGCGCTTCTCTCCAAGGGACCTAACTTCGCTATCACACAAAAGATATCCAGCAATATTCTATTGGAGGTGGAAAAGGGAGTCGAACGTTTAGCGTACGCCAAACGCTGGCAAGATGAGATTCGACGGACGAATTCAAGAATGCGAAACGACACAACGACGCACCGACCAGCCTCGAACGGACCTCCAACGACCGGTCAGCCTGCCGAACGGCCTCCTATGACCGATCAGTCAGCTGACCAGCCTCCAGCGCCCAGCCTATCTGCAGACCGACCTCGAGTGACTAGCCAGTCTGTCAACCGACCTCCAGCGACCGGTCAGTCTGTCGATCGACCTCCAGCGACCAACCAGTCCGTCGACCGACCTCCAGCGACCAGCCAGTTCGTCGACCGACCTCCAGCGACCGGTCAGTCTGTCGACCGACCTCCAGCGACCAGCCAGTCCGTCGACCGACCTCCAGCGACCAGCCAGTTCGTCGACCGACCTCCAGCGACCGGTCAGTCTGTCGACCGACCTCCAGCGACCGGTCAGTCTGCTGACCAGCCTCCAGGAATGACGACAAATGGTATGCCAAGGTTAAAGTCAGGTCTGTCTTTCAGATTCCCTGACACGGACAAAAGATTCCCCCCGCCCGCAGCTATGGAAGTTGAATGTAAGCTAAAAAAGCTAAAACAAGACGTAGTTAGGTGTTACAAAAAGCACCATGTGTCTGAGAGCAACGTAACTGAGAGTGAAATGCAGTTCTTGGACGAGATACAGAAAAACGACAACGTAGTTGTAAAGCAGAGTGACAAGTGCAAAGGTCTTATTATCATGGATAGGACGGAGTATGTCAACAAATCTCATGCTATTTTAGACGATCGGAACAACTATGAAGCTATAGACAAGAACCCAGTACCTAAAGTCGAGGCAGAATGTAAAAGGATATTCAAGGATGTTTCTAGAGATAAGTTACCAGAGGGCACGATTAAGGAGTTGATCCCGAACCACAGCAGGACACCGGTTTTCTATGGTGTTCCGAAGGACCATAAGGAGGGGGTCCCACTCAGACCTGTTATTTCAGCTTGCGGTGGTCCTACTGAAAAGATGTCATGTCTTTTAGAGCGCGTCCTGAAACAGCTACTACAATTTGTTCCAACACACTTGTGGGACACAGAACACTTTTTGAAAAGACTAGATGAACACACTCAAGAACAGGGGATCCCAAAAGGTTCCATTTTCTTTAGCATAGATGTGGTGAACCTGTACGGCAGCATTCCTATTTCGGAGGCCATTGATGCAGTCTGTGATAAGCTGGCCACCCATCTAAAAGATGTAGACACTTTTGGGCTGTCGGTAGAGGACATTAGGAAACTGCTGCAAGAAAGCCTCACAAAGAACGTCTTTTCATTCAACAATGAGTACTACCGTCAGACACTGGGGATCGCGATGGGAAACCCTTGTGCTCCTCCCATAGCCATTCTCTTCTTGGACCAGTTTGAAAGGCGTGCCCTAGAAGGAGCCACTCACAGCCCGTCGTTCCTGGTACGCTACATTGATGATTATGCTGGAGTGTGGACTCACGGTGAGCAGACGCTCAAAGACTTCCTCGCTTACCTCAACTCCCTACATCCATCGGTAAAGTTCACTTTAGACTACTCTGACAAAGAAAAAGGAGTGCCATTTCTAGACACATTGGTGACGGTCGAGGAAAAGGACGATGTCACAAAAATTGAGACAGAGCTCTACATCAAGCCCATGAACTCGGGCATTATCCTTCATTTCGATTCTGCACATCCAAAGTCGACCAAACTCAACGTGGCTAGAAATCAATTTAAACGGGCTATCAGGAATTCATCAAGCAGCATGAAGGAGAGGAAAAGTGTAGAAAAGATAAGGCAGTTACTCTTAAAGAATGGCTACCCAAACCACGTCCTGATCAGGTTGCTCAGAGAGGCTAGGGGGAATAAGACTCACTCAAGAACTAGAAGGAACAGGACCCAAGAACCTTGTGATGGATTCCTCACACTTCCTTACGTAGATGAAAGACTGTTGTGCGAAGTTAAGAGCAAAGTGAGACAATCAGGCCTCAATGTAAAGTTAGCATGGACAAATTCACAAAAACTAAAAGATAAACTAGTGAGGTCAGCACTATGTAAGCCCTTATGCCCAGGAGGTCAAAGATGTCACACATGCAGATCGGGGTTCTCTGGGGACTGCACGCAGAAAAACTTAGTCTATGAGATTACATGTACTGTCTGTCAAAGCAATGGGATGACCGTAACATACGTGGGAGAGACGAAGCGCCCGGTGCGCTTACGATTCAATGAACACCTGAGGGACGCGCTCAACAAAACACATGACACCCCCATGGGAGATCATTTTCAAGAGTGCCACTCCACCCACGAAGGAGGCATTCCCCTCAAAGTACGCGTTTTGTATAAGTCGAAAGACCACCCAGATAGGAAAATCGCGGAATCCCTCCTGATCCAAAAGAAGCGCCCAAAACTCAACTCCAACATGTCTTCATGGCCCATACTATAGAATGATAGTTGTTTGTTTTCATTATCCACTGGCTGTCATTGAAATTTGTTATGTGTGGATAATTGTTAGGTACTGCGCTTGATTCGAAGATGTATACATATGTATGATTGTGTAAACCCTACCTTTTACGACACGATCTATTACGAGACTTTCGAAGTGTTTGTATTGTTATTGTTGTTGTCTTCTTTTTTTTAATGCGACACGATCAGCTATTTAGCACGACTACGACCAAGACGAACCATATTCATGTATGGGAATTGAGAGTGCTCGCATATTACGAGTAGTTGTATGCATTTGTATGATTGTTTAAACCGAACCGAACTTTACACGACATAATCTGCTACGAGACTTCCAAAGTGTTTATATTGTCATTGCTGTCACCTTTTTTAATGCTACGCGATCTATTCATCACGACCACGACCAAAACGAACCATGTATATATTTATGTGATTATGCTCGCATATTACTTTTGATGGTCATGTATGTATGTATATGTGAATAGGTGGATTCGGAACAGCTTGGGATATGATCGATTAAGTTCAGATTTCTGATTTTAAGAAGACCACCTTGTACATCACGTGTGAGAATTCAAAAAATGTAGCTTGGCGGCAGTTATAAAACTTCGTTGTCAATTGTTTCATGTGGCTTGAGAATGAACTGTTGTTCGAAAATTTGCCAAACAATATAATATTTACTTTTTATTGAATTTCCAATTAATTATCGAGGAAAAGGTCATTTAAAATCCTAACTACATATATCAAGATGTTCCTCGCTAGAGCGCTGCATACCATTTCTTCAGATATTGATCAAGCTTATATCAATTTTTCAATTATCTTCCTCATTGGAGGTAAATGCCAGCGAAAACGCACATTATCAAGCGATTCGAACGATATCAAGATATCAAGACAAAGTCAATGAAGTAATGAAAGAATGACTGGGGGCATATATGGCGCATCCTAAGCACAGTTTATCTGCACTGTAGCCAAAGTGTACTTTTACCATATTGAGCACAATCTGTAACCCATCATCATAGCGACTCATCTGCGAGCAATCTTCTTGGGGCAGCTTAAATGATATTTTAAATTGCTTTGTCCATGCCCAAGGGCGAAGGAGACAAGCTTGCAAGATTCTTCCAGATATCTGCTGGGCTATATAGCCTTGCTAAATAGAAATACCATGCCAGCTGCTTTTTCATTGCCGCTACATCAGATACTTTGTTGAAGATAACTTAACGTTACAATAGAAGTAACAAGGCAGTGATGTTATGATTTATCCTCAGTCAAATCGGACAGGCATAATTTTTTGCGTGGTTTCAAATGGTTGCAGTCGAAGACATTAGTTCATTGCTCTGGTACACTGGTTTTCTTACCATGAAATGTCTACAAATGCCCAGCAAGTCTTACAGTCCAAAGAAGATGCATCTAAATCTAGCCCAAAAGGAGAATCACTGGAAGACACAAAGGACGAAAGTGACACGCAACTGGATCTGCTGACAGTGTTTGAAAGCATTGTCAAAGCAGTAAAACAATGGAAACCCTTTCCCTTGAGAGCTCATTATGTAGAAGACATCAATGAGACAAACAAACGAGTGCTTCTAGCTGTAATCTCATTCCTTCTGTGCACTAGTTTTTCGTTGGTATGGATCAGCGCTTTCATAATAGATGCACGAAGAAGTCACGAATATGCACCGACAGATTCCTTTTCGCCACACGTCCTAAGCTTGTCTGCTATTGTTCTCGTGATAAGCTTGATTAACTTTGCCTTTAACTTGTGTGGTTTTGTTGGCGTTTTCCGTGAAAACATTATTCTGATACGCATCTTTTACATCGCCCTCATTGTGATACTCTCTTTGAAGATGTGCACTGCACTTTTCATATTTTCGTTCACTGGAGCTGCTAAACAAATTGTCGGCAGTCTTTTAGGAGACCGGCTGGTTGTCAACTATCGATCAAGCTCAGATATTGAGGACACAATGGATTATTTGCAAATCAACTTTCGCTGCTGCGGTCTCCGTGAAGAGGGATTTCAAGATTGGAATATTAGTATTTATTTCAAATGTTCCGCTGACAATCCAAGCGCGGAGCGATGTGCCGTGCCCTGGTCCTGCTGCAGGAATCAAACCACTTCCAGAAACGCCCTTTGCGGAGCAAACGTACAAAAGGTCGACCGCAATATTGCCAGTCAAACCATTTACACCAAGGGATGCATCATCGCCATTTTGGAGTGGGCCAGTGACCACGGATTCCTGGTGGCCTTCCTGCTTCTGCTGGAGACGCTGCTGCTGACGGTGATGATATTCCAGAGCACGCACCTGGTGAACGAGCTGCAGATGATGAACGGTGTGTACCGCGGCCCCTGGTGGACCTGGGTCGGCAAGCAGCGGCCCGGCCGACCGCCGCGACTCTATCAGGTGGGTCATACAGCCAGGGCTGGCTAGTGATCTCGGACGTCGGTGTAGTGTGAATTGTGAAACCGCTAATCCGATTGCAACGTCTATTGCCTCCGGCAACCCGCGCCCCGTAGGGGGGGGGGCCGAAACGGCCCCCCCTGTCCTTTTCGGTCGATATCTCCTAAACGGCTGGAGATATCGCCACCAAACTTTCAGGACCCCTCCGGGCATCAATTTTACACATTGTGACCAAAAATTTGTCCAGAGGCTATGATAGGTTGGCCACAAATGACGTCAGAGTGACGTCATGTTCTGTCATTTTCGACCGAAAAAAGACCTTCGCGAGAAGACCTGTCAGGACTACAGCTTTGAAGATACAGAAAAATGATCAAGACATAAAAGGTGTAGAATTGACAGGGCTACAAAACTGCTATCTCGAATTTTTGAAATTTTTTGAGTTTTGACCCCCAAAAATCAAAAAAGCATTTTTTTGGATATATTCGCCAAAAAATCCAAAAAGTTTTTTGAGTTTCGAAAAAAACGGAATATATGTGATAGTGTCTACCGTCTTCTATCTACATACCAAATTTCAGATCGATAGCTCGTTTTTTGGCCAAGTTATAGCGAAAAAACTGTTCAAAAATTACGACGTCAAATTTTCAAACTCAATTTTTGGCAATTCTAGAACTCGTAGAGCAAAACGAAGACCACCATTAGACTCCCCGTGACGAGCTGCATCGAATCGATACCCATTTTATGCAGAAATATCAACTTTGAAATTTGACCTAATTTGACCTGACCTTGACCTGACCTTCACAAAAACGTGACCTAGGCTGGCCCCAAAGGCTGCCTAACCCACATAATCGCATTTGTCATGTAAAATGGACCATAAAACATGTATCACACGACACATTCATTTTGTGACCCCCGGTGACCTGACCTCGCTGTGACCTGACCTGGTATCAGTGACCTCAGATAGCAAAGTATGTGTTTGACGAACAATGTACCATCGATGGTTTTCAATAAATTACCAATTTACTCGCTTTCACAGCACATTTCTTGAATTGCCTGTGAACGGTGAAAATCTTACCTTTGACCTGACCTGTGACGTCATCGGTTTGACCTAGGTCAATGAAATTTGGTCACAAGGTAGTTCCCGGGTGGGGCTATCGAACGCCGTTTGAATTTTGAAAATCGGCCGGTAACTTTCCGAGATCTTAGGGGGGGGGCCGAAACGGCCCCCCCCCCCCCTACGGGTGGTAGGGTCCGCCGGTAGCCCTACGGGGCGCGGGTTAAAGGATTGTCTTCTTTTTTCAGATGAATTGATTCGTATACATGGCGTTTGGACCATTATGTGTATTATTACGCATTTAATACTGCATTTGGTCGAATGCCTTTTCACCTATTTACTAATGCCTTTCAATTCATTTAGATCAGCTGATTAGGATATGTCTTACATTCTCACCAATTAGATGAATACTTATCTATTCACTGTATTCACTATTCTGTCAATTTCTTTTTTTTCAAAAAAGGAAAAGAAATATAAACAGCATCAACATCAACATCAACACCGATAAAGGTCATAGAAATTTAGTCATCGACAACAGACCAAGCACATATAGCAGCTAACGCGTGCATTGCAATGTTTCGCTTTGCCGAATGGTCTTTTCAGAGGCCTCCAATGCTAGCCTCAGCCCATGATCCGCACTCATCAAACATATAGGCACCTACCAGTACCATTACGAGACAGGGAGAGTATGGTAGGCTCCGACTTGGCTGCCATCTCACCAGCTCGGTACCTACGCATGTATCACCGCTATGCTCCATTCTTCTTTCAGGGAGTCGGCGGGCACCATCAGCAGCGTCCCGCGCAGACGCTGCCCTTCCACCTGGAGCTGGTCTGGCACGAACCGTCCACCTCTGACGGTCAGTGGCGCCCTCAAATTGGTCAGCTGCAGGCAGGGCCGAACTCCGCGCAACAGACCTTCGAGGGGGTCCCGCAGACGGGTGAGCCGAACTACAGCGGCCATCAGGCCTCCGGAGAGGTTCACTATGACGTTGAGCCGATCGACCCGAGAGCCACTGCGCGGTACGAGCAGCGCCGGTCGACCATCGGCCAGCGCTTCTTCCGCGCGGTCATCAGCCGCGCCTCGAGGCTGGTGCACCGGCGGCGAGCCGTCACCGCCCAGGGAGGCGCCGGCGAGGAGGAGCGCGAACAGAGCGCTGCCGCTCCCCGGCAGCAGGGCCGCGGCGACTGGGTGGTCCATCACCGCGCTAGGGAGGTGGGCTCGGTGGGACCGGCCACCGCCGCCGCCCGCGCCCTTCAGCCCCTTGGTGAGGAGCGTGAGACAGAGCCATCCGCGGTGACTAGGCTGCAAAAGTCTCCGCTACCTCCGATAGGTGGACGCGTCAATGAGCAGTCAGCCAAGCCTGAGGTAGAGGTAGAGGTCGAGCCTGTTGAACAGTTAGTGGAGGTTCAGGATAGTCTGAGCACAGCAAGTATCGATAAGGAGGAGCTGTTTGAGAAGAGAAAGACGTCACAAATTATCCAGCCATCCCCGGTTACCGTCAAGAAGCAGCTGAAGGACCCAAAGAACTTCGAAAAAAGAAAATCGCTGCTTCCCGGTCTTATTGTTTCTCAAAATCAGATCAAACTTCCAACCGTACATTCGACCACATCGCAAAAGCCCTCCACTGAGGTTGAAGTTGAAAATGCATTGGAAGCAAAGGCTAATGAGTCTGAGGCTACGGCCAGCAGCAATGTCACCTCGGTGCCGGACGCAGTCACGAGGAGTGAGGGAACTGCTGGTGGACCACCCTCTACGCCTATCTCTGATGTTCCCAGGGACACCCCTGCGAAGTCAACTCCTCCCGACAGTACGTTCCGCGCCGCAGAAGCTCCTCCGACTCAGAAGCCTCCCACCGAGCCATCTTCCACAAAAGCTGCCGCCACTCCATCGCTTCCAACAGCACCCACAATCGCGAAGGTCTCACCGTCTGTTGGTTCTCAACCCTTGGCGATGAAAGCGCTAAAGCCACCGAGCGTGGATGTGTCATCAGGTCCAGTCGCCAAGTCAGCTGTGGAGACGAGTAAAAGTGATGATGATGAGGTCCAGCATCGTGAAGCGAGTGCTGCGTCCCCCCAGCACAGTGAAGCTGACGAAGATGCTGTCAGTCATGAGGAAACAGATGATGACACCGGTCGAGCAGTTTCGATTTCTGACAAAGGATCGCCAGCAGGACCAGAAGATGCGTTCACTCCAGATGGAGAGCAGGATCAAGATGTTTACGAGGAAAGAAGCAAAGATACCTCCGAAAGAAAGAGCAAAAGGGGTCACCACCACCACCATAAAAAGTTAAAGTCACACAAAAAGAAGAAACACAAGAAGAAAAAGGGAGAGGTCTCACCAGCGCCAGATGGGGACAAAGCAAGCCCTGCTGGACCGTCCGGCCTTGCAGCTGATCCAGTTCCTGAATGGCTGAAACCAAGTCCTCAGAACTCGGCTGACGATCATGCAGCCGACACGGGCACAGGCTCGGTACATTTCACTCCGTCAGAATTCAAGAAGCTGGCCGTCGTGCAGAAAACAGACCCTGAAGCTGGGAAAGCTCTGGCCCATGCCAGGGAGCGCAAAGGGACTATCGCCACGGCCATATCCAAGAAGTTGCACGACATTATGCCGAACTTTAATCCTGGATCGGCTTCGCATTCGCCACATACTCAAAAAGTAGAGGGTGAAGAGCACATATCCCTGGCCAGGGCTGTGTCCAGGAAGCTGCATGACATCTTACCCACATTTGACTTCCATCACGGGGGATCCAAACCAAAGCCTGAAGCGTCGAACCGTCCGGCTCGCATGTTGTCCCCTGACCCGGAGGTGGAACCAACGGGAGTGTTCAGGAGGCCGAGCACCGCTCGAGGTCGGGGAACAGAAGGGGAGAGCCGCACACCTTCGCCACTGAGGTCGATGAACGCGAATTCTGATGCTGAGTGGTGAACAATGCATGGTAGGGATTCAACTGATTACGTACAGTGCTGATGTTCATTGCTAGCGACTGTGTATCTATATAGGTACGCAGTGTGTATCGACGTGTTTATGATGCATGAATAGATCAATAAGAGCGATTTATGAATATTGCTCAGAGGACTCAGGCTTGGAGGGAAACTGCCCCGCTGTTTTTCACGGGCGCACCTCTTCACAATGTAATAGATATCACGTAAAGATAAACTTAGACACATAATGCCATGATTATCCCATTATTCGAAAATGTATTATATCAAACATGTTCACAGGCATAGAAAAAAAATGCTAGCCATTACGATGTGAAGGTGCGAAATACGCTCGTGCTATTTTTTTCTTGTAGCTCCGTGTCATTATTGCATATGAGCAAAGCAGAACCATAGTGCAGAACAGTTGGGCTCCGGAGATGTGAGTGATAGCGTGCGTGCGTTTTTTAACTTGTTCCACCACGGTTTTCAGCCAGTCATCATTTCCATGAATTCTGCAACAAATAACAGCCAGTTATGTCGTGACCATAACAGCCAATAGTCATGTCTGTACATCAGTTCATGACCCGGTCGGCTCAATTTGCATTGTTGGCCTTGCATGACAACTATGCATGTCATTTAGGTCATTTGCATTGCATGTCATTTAGGAGCACCGTCAACTCCCGATCTATAGGTCATTGGCTTAGATAGCTAAGGAACGGAACGATAAGGAACAAAACGACGAGAAGGATTATAACCGCTTCCTTGAACCGATATTCTGCGCGTAAAAAGTCTACAGGTTGAAAAAATACCGGAATGACACTATTTGAATAATTATCTAGAATCGTTATAAAAACGTTAATTGTAAATTGTTACTTGTTAAATATTCATTAATAGCAATTAAGTTTTAACAGGACTAAGGTATGTCCTCAAACGTACCATCAAAATCGAGGGTACCGGATCCGTCCGTATCGATTTCTTTGATGATGTTTTCAAGGTCCTCATCACTTAGTGTGTCATCCAGTTCCTTCAGGATTTCGGCCAATGATGAAGTGGGAATAAAGCCGTTCCCTGAAACAAGGTTATAGTGCGTACCAAAATAATTCCATACCTACACGCGGTGCGCTTCCATAGGTAGGTAAACCCGTGTACAGATCAAGTCACCTTTTATGTTGCTAAGATCATTGATTGAATTCATGCATTTTACATTTCAAACATCAAGACATTAGGCGTACCACCTTTGCTAAATCCATTTTGAGCTCCCCCAGTCAGTTGTAATGATGTCTTCAAGTTAATTTCCAACTGCGTCTAAGCTCACCCTCCTTGTCATAGAGCCGAAAAGCCTCTTTCAGCTCCTTAGCCATGGCCTCCGAGTCGTCTTCGATGATGAACTTGGCGGCCAGCGTGACGAACTCCTCAAACTCCAGCATTCCGGAGTCTGCAGGACAAGGGGGCAGCGTGACAAACTCTTCGAACCTCCTTTTCGCCCGTTCCCCGTATATTTCTCCCCGGCCCCTCGGCTATGAACTCACGATCGGCATCCACCTCGTCGATGAGTTCGCGCAGCGTTTTGGCGTTGTACGCCTGACCCATCATCCTCAGGATGGTGCCCACCAGGTCGGTGCTAATGGCGCCCTTCTTTTCATGGTCGAAGCCGTCGAAAGCCTTCTTCAGCACTGCCGGAGCAACATTTGAATATTCAGTTATGCTGATACGATTGGAAGGGTTCAAAAGAAACATCGTTTTAAAACGTTGATGTGGAATATTGCGGAGCTCGTGCATCGCGGGATCGTTGATAGATATAATATGACTTGTCATTTCGGTTTAAAATGAGCACATATATCTTTGTAATTAGTTTTTGACTAATTTTGCAACCTTGATTTGATCTTCCTATTATGCAACACTTACCGACCTTATAAAGCGTCTCGCATTCGAAAGTTCATGTCTGTAAAAAATCAATGTGTCTCGTAAAGAATGATAACTCATGCTAAAACCCATTGCTATAGGCTATCGGGCATAGAATAAAAACTGAACGACGAACATGCCTTGATGGTCAACAATACGAAGACACGCCACATTAGTGTTAGCGGCTATAGACTAACGCACTACGCAATGCATTATCTACAACTACGACTTCACCGTTACATGTGTGCGAGGATCTTCATGACCTCGGACGTTGGACAGTGACATGGATTAGAGAACACGGCTGGACGGACGCGTCACATATAGACTACTTACTGGCCACCTGTTCCGGTTCTAGCTCGTCCTGCAGAGCACGAAACGCATCATTGAGTCAAAGGCAAGGCCTTATAATCCTAGCCGTGCAATCCAGATTGCACATCGTGGAGTAGCTCCCAGCAGCACTCACAATTCCAAGACCAACAATATGGGGAAATTAATAAAACAGTGTCATATACCTATTTTGTGCGCTGAATAGATCGCACTATACAAAAGCAACTGCACATAATGAACATACGTACCTAACTGATTATGTTGCATATTTTGTCACCATTGGGGAAATTATCTTAATAGGATGAAATAACAAGTAATTTTTGTCGTGGATTTGTCGTGGAACTTTTAGATATACCTAAAAGGTATATCAAAAAGCATGCAGCTACACGTCCTTGCATATGCAATAGGTATCTATTAGCTTGCAACTATTTCAGCATATTCAACAATGGGAAAAGCGTCCATTATGCACACAGGTCCGCGATTTCAGGCACGGCCAATTTACATTCCTAATGCTAGATCTATGTTAGTTATTTGACCGCGTGAAGTCGGGTCACTAGGTCAGAGTGCAGGCTGGTGGACTACTGTGGGCCTTCCTGATAAGATAGGGTGTTTGAAGCCCGCAGAGCTGGTGACACTCCTCACGACACGACACCGGGAAATGTCGTGGGCTGGTGACCGGTGATGGCCTGACGGCGAGTCGCTGTATAGGTTATCACTAGAAGGTCACTGCCCTCCGCCCGCAGAAGCAGCCCAGCACGAGGGAAGGAGGGAAGGGGTGGCCCCATATGCTAACAAAAACCTACTATCAATGCAGACGGCGCCAGGCAGGCACGCAGCTGGCAGGCTGCAAAAAGCTTAGTGTCGGATAGGCCACCACTGAGTGCAGGGACATAAATCCCTCCATATCGGTATGCAAAGGTAGGTATATGGCACAGAGGTCCACGACTGTGCTCATTTCACTCTAACGGGCCACTGGCGGATACTGACCATGATCAGATGTCAGAGGGCTGCTCTTCACGACCTGCGGAACCGGCGACCTCTTCGACCCAACGGTTCCTCTCAAACTGACCACCCGTTCTGCCTTCACCTCGTTCCCGTGGTCTCCATGACTAATTTTACCGGTCCTCCATTTGGTCTCTGTTTACCAGCCGCGGTTCCAGTCGCTTTCCAGGCCATCAGCGCGCGTGGCGTAAGGGGCTCCGGTGACAGGGCGAATGTTGGCGTTGGCGCTGAGGTCACATGATCGCACCACCAGAGTGGGAACAGCCGGATGTTGACAGTCACAGGGCCACCGCCGTCATTGACGACTTGCAATCAGAAGCAAGTGAAACGAGGGGTTTACATCGTAAATATGAGAACACTATGTGATTGTTATTACCTATAGGATTGCAGTCAAGTACGTTACCAATATCTTTTCGCGTTTTTTTTTTTTCATTTTGTTTTGTACTTACATATTTCGGTATTATAAGCATTATCCCATTCCCACCTTTGAATCAAATACTAATTTGATTGTTCTTGTGAACCAACCGAATCAACTCAAGTCAGGTCAAGTCAGGCCAGTTAACTGACCCATGTCGTAGGCCTCTGCATGGTCCTAAAATGTCGCAACTTCGCAACGCCCTCAGCGTTAACAAGCTCTCCAGCCCACTCAACTTGTATACCTCATATTTTCAGCAAGGTCACCACCAATTCATCAGTCTTCAGTTCATCAGTTCGATCAGGTAACCTCACCATCTTAAGTCAATGGGAGAAATACGGGAACCGCTAATTTTGCGCCCGAAATAGTCGAAGACTATGTCACGCACAGGGAAACGTGACTTCATACACTCCTTGCAGGGTTCGATGTCTATTGACCTTTGCATTGTTGATCTCGGATGATTCGTATAGAATAGATTTTCCAAAATAAACCTATAACAAATATTTGTGAATAGAGGAGTACCAATCATAACGGTTAAGAGCGACACGCATCGAGGCTCGCTAATCTTGAAAGACATCTTTGGTGCCCAGACTTCAGATTTGACGGAACTCATTAACAGTCAGGATGGCGCAACTGTTGATATAGACATTCACAGGTGCCATGATTCAGCTAACGATGTCTACCTGCTAGACGTGGATGGACGTCTAGAAATCGACTGGAATCTATTTATAGCAGGGTCTGTTTATTTCATTAGGCTGAATGTTCATAACAGCCTTGAATATTTTGCAGGAAAATAAACGTAGTTTCCGCACGAAACCATGGGCGTTAAACATTTACAAAAAAGATAAAATGCGTACAAAATTCGTAGATATTAGCCGTTTTCACGATGGCTATCTGGTACACTTTTGGTTCATATTTGGTGCGGATTTGGTGTAGATTTGGTCATATTAGGTTCATTCTGTTTCTTGTTAACAATCAGCTTTGGCCGCACTTATTGCTTATATGCTTGTTTTTTTTTCAAATTTTATACATTATTTTCGATTTAAATACTGAAATGTAATAACGGTATGAAGATATTTGTTGCAAGAGATACTTGGTGCAGATCTGGTCAAATTAGGTGCATGCGCCACACAAGGCCCGTCGTGAGAACGGCTATTGTTTTGTTAAACGAAGGAGAAAATGTACAGCGAATTGGATGGGTGTCCAGAAGTCTAGTATGTATTCATGCACCTACGTTTTGGATGAGTGACACATACAAGAAAACGTTTTTTTTTTCAATTTTCGACGTCTTCTAGGATTTTAATATATTTCAATTGTGACCATCATAACCATTAACAGCTTACTAGGCTGTCGCCTATAGCAATTTAAAAATTGTCGCCGTTATACGGTATTTTCAGTTGTAAGAACATCAATCTTATGTTTTTAGTATCACAAGTTTATGTTATTGTAAGAAGTTATCCGAAATGATTTCGAAAGCAGCATGCTGTCTTGGGTAACAACTCGTTTGCAATTGTTGAAGGTAGACCCTTCATCACCGCAGAGACAAGACTGCATTTAACATTTCTGGAGCATGCTCTTTTTTACCAATGTTAGAGTGAGTTTGCGAAATCTGTGGATCCGCGGATTTCCTAGGGTATCCGCGAAGTCCCTAGTGGCTCCGCGGATGAACATCAAGTCTAGTATATTCGCGGATAAACGGGCGGGGATCCGCGGATGAACAAGACTCTTCAGGATAACCACGAACTCCCTGAAGAGTTGACGAGATCCGCGAACCACCCGGGGAATCCGCGGAGTAACGATTCATTCTAGTGAGTTTGAGAAGTTCCTATGCGTTTCGTGCAGCTACCTAGACTAGAATGCATTGGGTAGATCATCTGCGACTTAACCCGCGCCCCGTTGGGGTCTGCCGGAGCAACGCGCCCTGTTGTGTGTGTGTGGGGGGGGGGGCATTTTGGCCCCCTCCCCCTAAGATCTCGAGAACCACGCAACATAGCAACAAGCCGCAAACAGTGTTGGGTAGCCACGGCGGAGAACTACCTTGTGACCCAATTTCATTGACCTAGGTCAAAGCGAGTGAGGTCAGGTCAAATGTTGAATTTTCACCGTTTACAGGCATTTCAAGAAATGTGTTGTGAAATCGAGTAAATTGGTAAGTTATTGAAAACCATTGATGGTTCATTGTTCGTTAAACACATACTTCGCTATCTGAGGTCACTGATACCAGGTCGGGTCACAGCGGTCAGGTCACTGAGGGTCACAATATGAAAATATCATATGATGCATGTTTTATGGTCCATTTTACATGACAAATGCGATTATGTGGGTCAGGCAGCCTTTGGGGCCAGTTAAGGTTATGTTCTGGTGAAGTTCAGGTCAAGGTCAGGTCAAATTAGGTCAAATTTAAGCTGATTTTTTAAAATGGTAATCGATTCGATGCAGCTCGTCACGGGGAGCCTAATGGTGGTCTTTGTTTTGCGCTACGTGGTCTAGAATTGCTAAAAAATTGAGTTAAAAAATTGACGTCATCAATTTTGAACAGTTTTTTCGCATAGCTTGGCCAAAAAAGGAGATATGGATCTAAAATTTGGTATGGAGATAGAAGAGCGCACGGACTATCATACATGTTCCGTTTTTTCGTAAAATTTTGGGATAATTTTGCATTTTGCTAAAAAAGACTAAGTTTTTTTTTTGGGGGGGGGGTTAAAATCCCACAATATTAAAAATTTGAGATAACAGTTTTTTAGCGCCGTTTTATTTCTACACAACCACATAAAGAACTTTGAAATTGCTTGGTAACCGTAGCTTTTGTGATGGTTTCAAGATTTCATGTTTTTTGGTCATTTTTGCTCGAACATGACCTCAGTTTGACCTCAATAACTCCTGACCTAAGGTGACGTAAGACTTGAAATTTTGTGTGAAGATGTCAAATTGATGCCCGGGAAGGAACTAAAAATTTGGCATTCAGGATAAACCATAGGGGGGTGGCAAATTGCCTCCCCCAACGGGGCGAGGGCTAACCCTCGCCCGTATTATTGTTTTCTCGGACGCTACCGTGTGCGGGAGGAGGGGTCCGTGGGGGAGGGTTCCGTTGGAACCCTTGCCGTGCGGCCCCTGATCGAGCCAAACCTTTCGCGGAAAAAAATAGCTTGCTTTCCGTGGTTACATAGAAGAAGCCAATAATACCCAAACCATACGGCCCCAGGCCAATTGGTATTTGGTTGACATTCCAGGTCGATTTCAAATAGCATAGGGGACATCCTGTCTTTTTAATAGCCTTTGAGACGCAACAGCCAACAACCTCAATTAATGCCAATGCGTGATTAAGTTTTCATTAGTTTGTTTGCAAGTACGCAATGGCTTCAGCCAATTACGGTCAACTTGGGTCAAATAACTATATTCAAAGGCGGGTTGATATGTAAGTGTTGGGTTCTTGTATCGAAGTTCAGCATTGCCATTGCCCCTCCAGTCCAAATGTTCCCCAGAATAGATACTGTGGCGCCGGGCTGGAGCGTCTGTAGGCGCGGTGCTGACCGGTCGAGTCAGGTCGGCTGTGGTAAAAGGGCAAGTTGGGGGGGGGGGGGCAACTGCCCCACCAACTCTACGGGAAGCTTCGTCCCTGGAGAAGAGTGAGCATTACTGTTATGCATACATACTTGCATACATTCACATAATCGCTCAGATGCGCGGTAGCCTTTCCAGCTTTCCATTAATGGTTGGGAGAAAAGTAAGCAGACTGATCGCAGAAGTTCAACCACGCCAAAAATGGCTTACCGTCCATTATTTAATTGCATATTAAAGGAAATAGTTCACTTTTTAACATGGGTTTTGAACTGGAATAGCAGTTCCGTAGCTTGGGCTGAGACGAGCATAAATCAGGAGCTTTTACAGTCCAACGATCACCCTAGGCAAAGATATTCTATTTCTCGTCCCGAAAAAGGTGTATTGCGTTGAGGATGTGTGCCTTGCATATATTCGCATCCAGTATGAAAAGAGCATGGGTCCCGAAAATTCTTCAGAAACTAGTGAAATTATCTACGAGAACTCAAGAGAAATTCTCGTACTGATCAATAAGGACATTCAGCAGCAGCAGATCGCCCAAATGCCGGTGGCCGCGATAATTTCTCTAGTTTCTGAAGAATTTTCGGAACCCATGCTCTTTTCATACTGGATCGCCTGTGCCTTACAGAAACTGAAAAGTTCTTCTTATATCAAAATATAGAAAATAATCTTTTGTTATAAATAGGTTTTATTTTCTTTGCTGATCATTTTGAACATAAAAAATCATAAATCCATTGCAAAAAAAATAATTTCGTGAAAGTGAACTATTTCCTTTAATATTTGCGAGCGACGTCTAAGCGAGGTGAAAGAATAATTCACGAACTCACTAGAATGAATCGGTACCTACTCGGTGAATTCCAACAGCAACTGGGAAAACACCAATACGGGTGTGGGTTAAGTCGCAGACGATCTATCCAATATGCCTTGCATTCTTGTCATAAGATAGCTGCACGAAACGCATAGGAACTTCGCAAACTCACTAGAATGAATCGTTACTCCGCGGATTCCCCGGGTGGTTCGCGGATCTCGTCAACTCTTCAGGGAGTTCGCGGTTATCCTGAAGAGTCTTGTTCATCCGCGGATCCCCGCCCGTTTATCCGCGAATATACTATAGACTTGATGTTCATCCGCGGAGCCACTAGGGACTCCGTGGATTCCCTAGGGACTCCGCGGATCCACCGATTTCGCAAACTCACTCTAACACCAATATAACTTCCCCTATCGAAAGAGTCACCATATTTTTGAGACCGCCAGCCATTTTCGCCACCGCCGGAGGCAGCAGGCTCCCGGCCCCGCGCCGGTTGGCCGCCAGTCCACAGCAGGCGCTTTGGAGCGGCGGTCGGGCCGCGGGAGGAGCCCTGGCCACGACGGGTCGTAGGCGGGCGATCCACAGTGGGTGCCGCCGCGAGAGGAGCTCTGGCCTCGGCGGGTCGTAGGTGGGCGATCGAGTGGGTGCCGCCGAGGAGTTCAACATGGTGAGGTAGTGACCGGTCTCCACGCAGCTGAGATACTCCTGCTTAGATCTGAATTCTCTGGCGAATTCGTTTATAGCTGGTTGGTTTCTATGTAGGTACTTTTAAAAGGTCATGCTTAACTAAAATTATAACGAGCATTGTTTGTGTGACTAATAAATAATTGTTTTTATTCTAGTTATAATAGAATAATAGTTTTTGCCTGTAAAACATCGTCATAAACGCCCCCAAGATCCACCAGTGGATTCCAATGAGTGTGGCTTACCTCCACAGGTCGTCTGCCGCCGCCACTACCTGTTGGGTCGCTCCTCCATGGTCAGGACCTCCCTGTTCTGCGGCGCCATATTCTGGATGGTGATGTGCGGCACGCTGTCACCCCGTAGACAAGGGACGACTCACTCCTCGGCTGACGTGGCTCTGGAGCCAATTGACCAGCCCCACGCCCAGCACAATGATTGGGAAGAAGATCGGAACTCCCTGGGCCACATCGCGACTAGCAGTGGTGCTGGGAAAGGCTCAAGAGAATCACAGAAGAGTTTCCCTCTATTTACAAACACATTTCCAGTGGCATCGAAGGGCGAAAATGCGAGAAAAATGGAACACAATCCGCTCAGCTGTTTCACGTAAGTAATGATCGGGGAAATGGTTTTTCTCTTGCATCCTCCTCCATTCATTGACCTTACGCTGGTCTGACCTCGACCTAATCTTCATGCAGCTTCGGTCAAAATTACGTATTTTGAGCATCACCCTTGCATTCTTCGGATAAATGACTCATCAAATACGTGTCACGCAAGTTCCATTCAATGGCTACATTGTAATAGTTCAATGTGACCTGACATGGCCTCGAACTTTGTACGACATCTGTACATTAACGTTGAAAATTGCATTTTTAACCTTTTGCCTGACCTTGATCTGACCTGTGGGCTGTGACCTACTCAGGCTAAATATGTTATTCTGAAACGATACAAAGTGCTGAAGGCGTTCGCTTACCGTTTTCTCAGTTTCATGCGGCTATCCGTCCGGGAATAAAGCACAAAAATGGGCCTTGGGGTGCCTAGCCTAGCCTAAGGGAAGTAGACACTCCCATCCGAAGGGGTGGCGTTCGACTGAATAGTGAATGTCCCAGCAGGGCGCGGGCTAATTTACCAATAGTTCATTCCTCAATGATTTGCGTCTAACTAAAAAGTGTCAGCTTTTTCTTTGCCCGACCCCGAAGCTCTGTCTGATGGCTCATTTTGGTATATGTCATCTTTTCACAAATGTCGCCTTGCCCTCACCATTCGAAATGGAGCAATTATTTAGGTGGCAAATGTCACGTCTCTTTAATCTATAAAACAACCAAAATGCGTTTTCGAATAGACCCGGCCGCAGTTTTTAGCCCTGCCCCCTCCCCAGTTTCCATTACCACAGTGGCTGGTCCGGTCATGCAATTCTGATTCCTAAGATAACAATGAAGCCTATTTGTGTGCTTATAAATGTAGACCTATCCAAGCAAACTCCAACATCCGAATACGAAATAAAGTTGGTTGCCCCTCTCAGTGCGCGCCTCACAATAGTGTTATTGCTTTCAGAAACCGCACTACGCCATCAAATCAGCGGCTGTTTACCGAGAAAGAGAAGGTCATGTTCCGCTACCTGTTTGACTGGCCGGAGGTACCGACCAGCTCCTGCAAACGCATGTTCAAAATGGGTGGCCTGGCCAGCGGCAAGGACTGTCTGACCGACGGCGACAAGCACGTCTGTCTCGACGAGCCGCTCTCGTTGGCAGCTGCCCACGACGACTGCCTCATCTACTCGTTCGGCATCAACTACGACTGGAGCTTCGACGAGGCCGCCAGGGCCTTCGGTTGCGAGGTGCACTCGTTCGACCCCAGCATCGACTACCCCGAGGGCAGACGCTCGGACGGCATCACCTTCCACCACTTCGGCATCGGCCGTCAGAAACACGTCAACATTTTCGGCTGGCAGATCTACACCCTCGACCAGATCATGGACATCCTCGGCCACAAGGGGCGCACCATCCACTACCTCAAGATGGACGCCGAGGGCGGCGAGTTTGACATGATGGCGCAGCAGCTGCTGGACGGCGACGGCGAATTCGTTCTCGACAAGGTCGAACAAATCGGCTTCGAGGTACACTTCAAGCTTGATCCTAACCTTGAGATGGCTTTCTATCGACGTGCCAACAGATCTGTGCACGCCTTACGGCAGCTGGGCTTCAACATGGTTCACTGGGAGTACAACAAGGTGGTAAAGGAACGGTACCTGTACCCGGGCGTGGAAAGACCCGTGAGTCTGCTGTACGAAATTCTGCTCATCAAAAACGGTCCCGACAGATGGGATCGCTCGTCGCGAGGCCGGCGAGAGCGGCAAGTCATAGCGGCGCTGGCAAAAAAGGCGCTGACGCTTACCAGGTCGCTGGTAGCAGGCAAAATCCGCGCGTGATGTTACGCTTTCGTCTGGGAAGCCCGAACGGCACCAGCCGTTCGGAACTGTCGCGATCACGCTGCGCTGTCGGCATTGTGATGGGACTGGGTCAGCTGAGTAAAGTACTGTTATCCGAACAATGCGCCGTTGTTGCGGAAACTCACGCTCGTGGTAGACTCCGTGACTGGCTCACGATTCGGCGTATGCCGTGAAAGGAGCGCTGACGTGAACATCTGGTGACATTCAGTGTCATATGCACTCAGGGTATAATTGTTAAGCTGCCATTTGACGAATGCCCATACACGTAGATAGAAACATAGTGTAACAGATACTCAATATTTATGTATTTGTTTGTCCTCGCTTTAGCAGGCAATAGCTCTTACCTACTACAGAAGGGTCATTGGTTCCTTTCCCTCTTCTTCAACCTCTGTCCCCAGGCTACGATGGCGGTGCGAACAGAGTGGTTAGCTAGATGTATAAGGCCTTCCATGATCCCACACACTCCTTTTGTCATATTTCTAAAATCCAACAACACTGCCTGACGAGATATCCTATTTCCCCACTTCTAAAAGCGATCACTTGGAAAGTGAGATGGCGGGCGGCGGCAGCGCGGGCGGGGGTGACGCCATCTGTTTTGACCCACGGATCTGCAGTAGAGGCCACGCCGTGACCCACGGATCTGCAGTAGAGAGCCACACCGTAGCTGTCAGTGTCGCCTCCGCCGTATACTTGCCGCCGTCGCCGGCTGGACTGCTGCCGCCGCCGATCTGTCGGTTGCCCGCCGGCTGCCGTCGGTGCCTCACCCGTAGTTTCTGCGTAAGCGAGCGAGTGTTTGTTCCGCTCTGTCGCTGCCAGTCAAGGTCTTGTGTTCGTGTTCCATCGCTGCGATGTGCAGTGAAATGTTCCGCGAGCGTCGCCTCGAGATTCCTGATTATTCGGACCTGTCAGCCTGTGTTTGCCGTTTTTGTTAATTAAAAACGTTACGGTAGCGATTAGAGCTCACAACCAACACACAGCTGGTGGAGCAGCTGGAAATTACAGCCTAACCGACTACGCCACCAGTACAGTATATAATGAATCACATATTTATTACAGCATCCCAGAATTGGTAGGTATATGATATATATTTCTTGCAAGTGTGGCTGTGCTATATATTTGTGGTAAATGTATGTGGTAAAATGTGGTAAATGTATAAATTTGTTATTGCTATGCTTAGTTTATTATGTAGAGCATGGCTCTCCTCTCTGCCGCTTGGTTGCTGATGTGTGACATGATTATAATGTATAATATAATATGTAATGAAATTGGCCAAATAGGTACATGTAACAGATTGTTCCACGGACAAGTCATCTGGCTGATCCCGTTTATAGTGACCCATGTTTTCATGTTCTGCTATATTGCTCCCATGTTTTCCTGTTCAGAAAATAAAGTCAGTCAGAAAATATAGTTAAAGCCATATGATACTTATACTGCACAACGCACATAACTCAAATGCCTTTTTTTATTCCGTAATAGCACTTAACGGTTTCCTTGTTTCCGAGTCCTATTGAAAATTCATGTGCTCTGCAATGCGCACATGCATTTTTGGACATTCAAGCTAGCTTCTAGGAGGATCAGAGTGTTGACTTTTATTAACCCGCGCCCCAGTGCACAGTGGGCGATCCGGCCGGTGTAGCCTCGCGAAACCTATCGGCATTCATAACATCCATGTTTTTGAAGCTAGAACCACAATATTTAGGAGCAACCTTCTTGAATATCCAATGAGCATATGTTTTAAATAAGGACTATCTATTATAGGATTTATGCTCTGTGGCGAGCTTGCAATTTGCCTAATTGCTGCTCGAATAACGCATGAATACTTTTGAGGGTAGGTCGAAATTTATGACGATATGAGCTGGGTAGGACATTGAAATGGTGTATACCTTCATAGAAAATTGCTTCCAAACCAATTTTTTATTCAAACGATTATGCCCTACCAATTTATACATATCATGAAACAGCGTAAATCTCGCCCGGCAAGGCCCCGTTTCATAACGTGACCCAAGCAGCGGGTTTGGTTTTTGGTAAATAACTTCGCAAAAATGGCCGCAGAACCACGATTTTGACATCGTCGTGTTCGCCTTGCTCAGGCGCGTCGAATGTTATACTTTTGTTCGGGTGAGACCACCGTAAGGTCAACCTGACCTTGACCTCGAGTCAAGGTCAGGTCAGAGGTCTTCAAATCACGAAGTTGGTCGAAGGAGGTCATATCGCATATCATTCGATTCGGCAGGTCTTCCGGAGTCCATTGGTGACCTTGTCGACTCTCTACCTCAATTTGATCGGCAGTTATTGACGATAAACTCGTATAACCCTAGTGACGTCATAAATGACGTCATGCAAGGTCAACAATGCAAAAATGCAGCATCAGATCTTGCAACGAGTGCATGAAGTAACGATTCCATGTACTTGAGACAATTGAATATCATTCCTGGCGCCAAAATAACAGTTTCCATATTTCCCCATTGACTTATAGGTGAGGTCACGTGACCTACCTGACTTTATGTGACATTTAGGAAAAATCTGAGATATACAAGTTGTAAGACCTCTGAAGGACAATAAATCCTGCAAGTCTCACCTCCCTGTGAAAGTAACTCTGGCACTGAGAGCGTTGCAAGGTTGCGACATCTGAGGATCGTGCAGAGGTTCATTTATGACGTCATAGGTCAGTGACCTGACCTGACTTGAAAGTGCGGTTGGTGTCACAAGATCCAGCGTGCATCAAAGGTCAGGTATGCCAGGTTGCAGCTCTCTATTGCCTGGGTGTTTTGAGCTATCGCGAAAACACCCTTTGGGGCATTTACCACTTGTGCTCAAGTGCACCAAGCCACGGCCAACCCTTAGATGAAAAAAGTGTCTGGATGCCAGGGCTGCAAGTGGCTGCAAATTTTCACTAGCTCCCCTAATAGATAGTGTCTTAGTGCATGCGATACAGCATTATTTTCAGTTCATCCTCGTAAAACTTTTTTTGCTGGGCTTGGTTAATTCAGTGAGTGTAATGTTCAGTGGTAGAAAAAAATATATAAAAAGTCAACCTAATTATAAGACATTTTGAACTGATTTTGTCTACTTGTTTTCTATGGCTGAATCGTCTAAACATTTAAATTTCACTTTCCATGCAAAATGAATGCTCAACACCTAGCAATTTCATCGTTCCGCAAAATATTCAAAGAGCGTAAAAATCGGCTGTGATTATCCCCCTTATGAAGTGTTACGGAACGCTGTCTTTAACGATACTTTTGTCCACGAAAAAATGTCTCCTGAGCCATGCAAATGCACTAATCGTAATCTTTGATGAATTTTCTGTCGACTAGTATGCGTTGTTTTCCAATTTTCGGAAAAAAAGTGTCTTTGAGGTTTCGCGAGGCTAGACCGGCCCGATCGCCTACCGTGCAGTGGCGGTCTCAGCCAGCTTCGCCCTAGTGAGGGGGGGCATATGTTACCACCCACCTCTAACTCAAAAACTAAGAGGGCTAGAAAGACGCAGTAAAAAGCAGTCGATAGCTCATAATGCGTAAGTTGGAAAGTATTTCTGTCATTTTTCTCCTTAGAGCAATATTGGGGTCACCAGAGGTCATCAAAGGTCAAAATTTGCCAATTGTCATGATATTTTTCAGAAAACATACCGCTATCTCAGGAAGTATGGTAGCTAGAAACACGCATGGAAGAGCAATCGATAGCTTTTGAACTCTTCTTTTGAAAAGGTCATTATCAATATTGACCTCAGGTAAACGGTTTAGCCTCCAGAAGGCAAGAACTCCAAAAATAGCTGTTTTTACGAAAAGCGTTTTTCGACAATAACTTTCGACTACAAAAAGCCACGACATTTCTATTGCCAGAATCGTGTTCCCCTCGCCGAGACGCGTCGAATGAACTATAATTTGACCTTGAAAGGTCAACTTGAAAATTTGGCCTCAGGTCAAGGTCATGACCTGACCGGAAAAGGTCATGTTGCATATCAGTCGATGCGTCTCAACAAGACAAACACAATGAGACCATCCCCAGCGTTCTATCTCTTTCCAATCGCGAGTTATTGGCAAAAAACTGTTTGTAGCCTCAAATGACCTCGGATGACCTTTCAAGAGGCTATCAGCAAAAATGAAACCTTGGTCATCACGAGTGAACTAAATCATTGTGATTCTGAAATATTTGGACTGTTCCTATGCGTACACACGGATCTAGAGGCATTTTCATTTTTCTCCATTGACTTGTAATGGAAAGGTCACGCCACTGACCTGACCTTAGGTCACGGATATAAAAAATCCGAGATATACAAGTTGTAGGCGCCCATAACAGCATGCAATCCACCAAGTTTAAAACATTTCTGACAAACACTGCAGGCTGGACATGATTGCAAACTTTTTTTGAGGCTTGGTCAGTAAACTTGACCTGGTGACCTGACCTGACATGACCTGGGGTCAAAAATTTTACACATTGTCCAAAATTGATGTACCAAAAGCTACCCCAAGCGGCGCGGCGCTACGCGCCGCAGTTTTTTATTCACGCGCAAAAAAACGCGACAGGGTGGTAACATATGCCCCCCCCACTGGGGCGAAGGTTAAGGCAGTTTACTTTTGTGATTCGCCAAAGCATCAAAAGTCAAAACGCTTTCTTTCATCACCAGCAGAGGGAAGTTTGGAGTTTGTCGCTATCGCTGTGACACGAGCAGTTAAGCACTTGCACAATTCACGCTGACAACCACTCAGGTATAAGATCCATTCGCTCTACGTTGCTCGGCATTGGTACTCAGTGCTCAGTGCTCATGCCTAACCTGGCTACAACAGCTGAAACATCTAGAAACTGAAGCCACAGAACTGTGATCTAAAGAAAGTCGTTTAGCCGGTTATCAATAATCAAGTGGTAACAGTTCCGAAAGCGCTAGTTCAGGTCACGTCAGTCACTCATTACGGATTGAAACCCGTCAGCACGGACCGTCAAGACCAGAACGGGTTGCCAGTGTCAGTAGGTATACGGGTCAGTATACATACGGGTATTTACGGGTCTTTGAGTCACAACCAATACGAGTCTGCAACGGTATATTAGCGATATGCGTCATCCGTGATAAGTGAAAACACAGAGCTGCGGCAGTTTGTAACGACACATGATCTTTATTTCAGATTCACGAAGCAAGATCTACACCAATAAGCCAATCACACAATACATAATTGACAAATGACAAAATGGTATTCCGGCCGTTTAGCAGACAATGTATAGGTCGTCGAAGGCTGCGCTCAGGTGGACGTGGTACAGATTACGGACAACAGACAGCGATAAGGTGTCAGAGAATAGACAGCGCTCAGGTGGTACAGAGAACAGACAGCATTAAGGTGTCTAAGAACAGACAGCGATAAGGTGTCTGAGAACAGACAACGATAAGGTGTCTGAGAACAGACAGCGATGAGGTGGTACACTGGTACATAGAACAGACAGCGCTCGGGTGGTACAGAGAACATACATCACTAAGGTGGTACAGAGAACATACATCACTAAGGTGGTACAGAGATAGAACATACATCACTAAGGTGGTACAGAGATAGAACATACATCACTAAGGTGGTACAGAGAACATACATCACTAAGGTGGTACAGAGAACATACATCACTAAGGTGGTACAGAGAACATACATACACCACTCGGGTGGTACAGAGAACAGACAGCGCTCGGGTGGTACAGAGAGCAGACAGCGCTCAGATGGTACAGAGAACAGACAGCCATAGCATGCGATGTACAGATACAGACAGCGTTCAGGTGGTACAGCGGACACCGGCAACCTCTCCAGCTCCACAGTTGTGTCTTTTCCAGCCGAGGTAGCTGCAGTTTATCAGAGCTGATTCCGAACCACGACACTCAACGTCATCCATGAAGAAGTTCGCTCCTCGACCAAACGTGGATTTAATTTTTGCGATTCCTGATCTGCAATTGTCAACAGAATAACCACCCTTCAATGACTGATGGATACTGTTTATGACTGATATATAATGTTCATGCAATAAAGTGCAGCTGCAACAGCACTACGAGTATATTGGCTGCGTTACAGTGAGACACAGCATGTCGGATGGGATGTTTAAAGTACGTTTTTATTCATAGTTACAAATCATCGTGAGCATAGAACAAACAAAAAAAGATTACATAGTGCATTTGCATTGCACGACCGATTGCATAGTGCATACGTTAATTGGCGACGAACATGAACATCTTAGTTTGCCGGATTTACACTACCTACCTATACTTTCCCACGGATTTCCCACGGTAACCGGACAAAAAGTCAAAAGGAATAAAGTCAAAAGACAAATAGTCAAAAGACAAAAAGTCAAATGCAAAAAGTCAAACGGGATAAAAGTCAAAAAGATAAAAGTAAAAACGGATAAAAGTCAAAAGACAAAAAGTCAAAAGCAAAAATTCAAAATGTGCAAAAGTCAAAAACGCAAAAAGTCAAATGACAAAAAGTCAAAAATGCAAAAAGTCAAAAATGAAAAAGTCAAAAGGATAAAAGTCAAAACGGAGAAAAGTCAAAAGACAAAAAGTCAAAAGCAAAAAGTCAAAACGTGTAAAAGTCAAAAGGCAAAAAGTCAAAAATGCAAAAAGTCAAAAGGATAAAAGTCAAAACGGAAAAAAGTCAAAAGACAAAAAGTCAAAACGAGTAAAAGTCAAAAGACAAAAAAGTCAAAACGGAATAAAGTCAAAAGACAAAAAGTCAAAAGCAAAAAGTCAAAACGGGTAAAAATCAAAAGACAAAAAGTCAAAAACTGAAAAAGTATAAAATCGAATTTCGAAGTCAAAGTCTGAAATAAAAAGTCAAAAGGATAAAAGTCGAAGCATCGATCTTTTCATCTTTTGAAAAAATATTATACAGCGCAACGTACCCTACCCACTGAAGTTGTAAGGAACATGTGAGTACGCGAGGGATTCTGACAGGTACCGGGGTCCGCAGCAGCGGGGCAGGGACGCTGGCTGCGGTGGTGGGGCCCACGCTCACATAATACGCGTTGAGCGCTTCCGGCGTGCACGCTGGCGCAGCACCAGTGGCACTCTTCCCCGCCCCGATCACCGGCCGCAGCACTGTCCTCTTATACGGCCTTGGCACTGTCCACATCCTCGCCGGTCCTGCCTCACGCAGCTGGTCAGCATAGTATGCCGCGTGGTCACGTCTGATGGCCGCTCGACACTGCCGGTTCACCACCGTATACTCGGCGCGCGGGCCGAGCAGTGCGCGCCGCCGCGCCAGCAGCGCTCGCGTGGCGTCCGTGGTGCGCGGAGCACCGGGCGGCGGCAGCCCCTCCCCCATGGGAGAGGGTGAAAAGCAGTGCCTCCTCTAAGCAGTTTTGACTGGGGGGCCCGATCACGGGCAATGACTAAGGTAACCCCTACCAAAAACGTCCAAGACTAAAAAATGACTAAGGTACCCCTCAGTGACCAGTTTGGAGGATGACTGCGGGGGCTGCAGCTCCCGCAGTTAAAGGTAGTGTGCCAGCTTTCCTGGGCCGTATGGAGTTAATGGCCCAGATAAGGAGAACCGGATTTTTAGAACTTATCCATACCTTCAAAACTCATGGAAACGTCTTAAATTCTTCAAATTTTGAGTACTCCAGTGCGAAATTCGCCCCGACGGGTTGTCGGTCGTACCCCAACCACATTTCACACCACTATGAACAATAAATGCACACACTGAAATCGCTATTACCGATATGCTCATCCAATCAAGTTTCGATAAACCCGTTCATCATCATCTCCTGCGGTTTCGAACACGCCTGTTAGGTGGTGCGGTAGACCGCGCCCAAAGCCAGGGCCCCGGTAACGTGAGGTAGCCGAGTCGGGGCAGCGTGCGCTGACCCAAGCCAGGGCCGCGGCTTTGGGCGCGGTCTACCGCATCCCCGCGGGCAGCCCCGGGCTATCACATGACACCGGGAGGACGCGCGGCCCCGGCTTGGGTCAGCGCACGCTGCCCGTACTCGGCTACCTCACGTTACCGGGGCCCTGGCTTTGGGCGCGGTCTACCGCACCACCTAACAGGCGTGTTCGAAACCGCAGGAGATGATGATGAACGGGTTTATCGAAACTTGATTGGATGAGCATATCGGTAATAGCGATTTCAGTGTGTGCATTTATTGTTCATAGTGGTGTGAAATGTGGTTGGGGTACGACCGACAACCCGTCGGGGCGAATTTCGCACTGGAGTACTCAAAATTTGAAGAATTTTAGACGTTTCCATGAGTTTTGAAGGTATGGATAAGTTCTAAAAATCCGGTTCTCCTTATCTGGGCCATTAACTCCATACGGCCCAGGAAAGCTGGCACACTACCTTTAACTGCGGGAGCTGCAGCCCCCGCAGTCATCCTCCAAACTGGTCACTGAGGGGTACCTTAGTCATTTTTTAGTCTTGGACGTTTTTGGTAGGGGTTACCTTAGTCATTGCCCGTGATCGGGCCCCCCAGTCAAAACTGCTTAGAGGAGGCACTGCTTTTCACCCTCTCCCATGGGGGAGGGGCTGCCGCCGCCCGGTGCTCCGCGCACCACGGACGCCACGCGAGCGCTGCTGGCGCGGCGGCGCGCACTGCTCGGCCCGCGCGCCGAGTATCCGAAGGTTGGGACTTTTCAATAGAGACAATCACTATTCTTTAGAATTGTGATTTTCTATTGAAAATCCCAACCTGAGCTACCTCTCTAGGGGGGTGTTTAGCGTTTCTGCCGCGATTTGGGTCATTTTGAATCCCTCAAAAACGGCACGGTAGAATTTTTTGCCATTTTCAGCGTTTGGTCCCGTATGGGGGAGCTACCGGCTGGTACCGGTCGCTTGAAATATAATTAACCCGTTTTGGGGTAATCCGCACGTGCATTTTCCCATAGGGTTAACATGGGGGAAAATTGGAAATTCGATTTGCGAAAAATTTCGTCAATTATATTTGCTGATATTTTTAGGATCGGATCTCGGGCAGGCACCCCAACTGACGGTGGTAATTATTTAAAATATAATTGACAAAATTTCGGGTAATCGTCACGAACAGTTACCCCATGTTGAGCCTATGGCGAATTTGAAAAATTATTTTCAAATCGATTTTGCAAAAAATTTCCACGTTAGATTTTGAAAATGTTCCAATATGTTGTGCCCCGGGGTGTCGGCTACCACATGGTATGGGTCAGATATGGGGCGATTGAAAAGCACGTGCCACGTGCAAACGTGTTTGATGGGGTAACCTCCGGGAAAATCCGACATTGGCCAACTGGGGGTCCTATGGCGTGGAAACCACTCCACCTAGCGACACCAAATCAACGCAGCCGGTGAGCAGATGAGTCCAGCTTGTCGCACTAGTGGTCACGTGGCGCACGTGCTATTGCACGTGCCGTGGCACGGGGTCAATTTTGGTGCTTAAATATACTAGCATTGTGAAATGCAAGGAATGGGGGAAATAGCCGTCAGGCCGTCAGTTTTTATGATAGGGTCGAGCTGAAAACGGGTATAGGCACAGAATGAAGGGGGCTAAAAAACTGCTATCTCGGATTTTTTGTAAAATGAAAAATTCAAAATTCTGGGGAAATTATATATTCGAAAGGTGAAATTTCCCTAAATTTTCCCGTTTTTCGAGTTTAGCCGTCCACTGTTCAGGGACGTTGACACCGGCCGGGGTCATCTTTTACATGCTGATGGCCACGTCGATGGGTCATCACGTGGCGTGAACGGTGAAGCTATCAAAGGTCCGGCACGTGCCACGTAGCCACGTGTTTGAGTCGCGTACCTCCCAGATTATCGTGTGTTTGCCGATTTGTGGCCTTATAGCACGAAAACAGCACAAGCCAGGAACACTGAAATGGTGCAATCAGTGAGGGGACAAGTCCTGCTTGCACCACCGGTGGTCACGTGGCACACGTGCAAATCTGGGCACCTCCGTTGCGGAGATATTTTATAGTGAAATATTCAAATGTACGTAACTTTTTCAGTTTAAGTCCGATTGGGCTAGAATTTGGTGGGTGGATGAATTGTTAAGCGACACGAACGAATGCGCAATGTTTGTTGCAGTGCGCCACGTTTGTCTCAAAGCGTCATTTTTGCCGCAAATCACAGAATGTGCGCAGCTTTATCGAACATGGGACGATTAGGATGCTCTTTGGTTGAGGGATTGCTAAACGGCAGATATGAATGCACCACACTTGCCGCAAGGCGCCATATTTGTCTTAATGCGTCAGTGTTTACGTTTAACGGACGGCGTGCGTTTTGCGGCGGTGTTTGCGTTTTTTCGGTGTTTGCGTTTGGCGGCGGGCGGCCGATTTTGCGTTTTTTGTGGTGTTTGCGTTTGCCGGCGGGCGGCCGTTTTTTTTGCGGCGTTTTGCGGTTGGCGGCGGGCGTGCGTGCGTTGCGGGCGTTTTTTTGCGGCGGTGTTTGCGTTTTTTGCGGTTTTTGTGTTTGGCGGCGGGCGGGCGGGCTATGCGGGTGTTTTTGCGGTGTTTGCATTTGGCGGCGGGCGGCCGTTTTAGCGGCGGTTGGCGGCGGGCGGCCGTTTTTTGCGGCGTTTTGCGATTTGCGGCGGGTGGCCGTTTTTTGCGGCGTTTTGCGATTTGCGGCGGGCGGCCGTTTTTTGCGGCGTTTTGCGGTTTGCGGTGGGCGGCCGTTTTTTGCGGCGATCTTGTGGTTTGCGGCGGGCGGCCGTTTTTTGCGGCGTTTCGCCGTTGGCGGCGGGCGATGCGGTTTGTTTTTGCGGCGGCGGTGTTTGCGTTGTTGCGGTGTTTGCGTTTTGCGGTGGACGGGCGGTTTTTGGCGGCGTTGTTTTGCGTTTTTTCTGCGGTTTTCGGCGGGCGGGCGATTGTTTTTTTTTGCGGAGTTTGCGTTGACGTTTTGGTCGTGCGTTTTGCGCGTTTTGCGGTTTTGCGGCGGGCGGGCGGTTTTTCACAATTAAAGTCCCAACCTTCGGATCCGCAGTGCT